TGCATCCCAGTTTAATGAAAGTTCAGTGTGGAATCAAGAGATCTCAGATAGATCGAATATGAAAATTTTGTTAGGATGTAATATACGTTTTGGTTTGGCGTCAATGGTTGAGACTCGTGCAGGGAGTTGCCTTTGTTTCGAGTGAAAGGTTATCGAAATCAGTGAATGGTTAGTGATTACGTTTTTTCAGTTATCAACAAAATAATTCAGGGTTAGAGGGGTTCATTCGGTTCGGGTTGCGGAGTGGAGTCATTATGGATGTGATATGGAATGGTTCTGTCTGTCTAAAAGTTAGACATGGTTTAGGGTTTTTAGTTTTCAGGTAGAGCAGTTGGATTTTCTTTTTTTGGCTGATGGCGGAGTGTTAAGGTTCTTTCTTCATCAAGGTATGTGATTTCTGCTAAGATTGGGCTTCAGTAACAGTGTTGGAAGGCGTTCATCTGTGTGAGATGACTTCTCAGTCCTAACTAGAATTCAGGAAGTTCTGACATAGTCGACCGGTGTGGCAGAGAAAGTTGTAAGGAATGATTTTGAGGATGAAATCTAATTTAAGTGGGGGAGAGCTGTAACATCCATTTTCTAGAATGGATCAGTTTAGGTCATTAGGAGTCAAAAGCATGGTTTTTGGGGAAAAGTGGGTGTCACGACGTGACAATTCTAAGGGAAGCGCGTATCCGGGGGGCATGTCACGACGTGACATGAGTATGGTCACATCGTGAGGAAGGCTGCAGCCTAATCCAATGATCTTTTAGGATTTCCTTCGCATTTAAATCCCATTAACTCGAATTTAGGGTTCATTATCAGCCTCCATCACCCTCCAACCTCATAAAAACCTAACCCTACTCTCTCTTGGTGGGTTTAGCTCATTTTTGGTGGTTTTGGTGCTCTTTGAAGGAAGTAGAAGGAGAATTGGTGCAAGGATCAAGCACGCAACATCTTCTGATCTTTAATATCACCTTTTGGGCCATTTGTAAGGAATCAAGCTTCTACCTTTGTGGTTTATTATATTTTTTGGTCCTTTTTGAGTCATGGTTTTGATTTTAGTGAATGGGTGGAATAAATTTGGTAAATTTATGGTCCTCCTGATTCCCTAACACATCATATCTTATGGATCTAAGGATTGGTTGTGAATTGTGAACCTTGCATGAGTTTTAGGTCATTTTCTTAGCTTTTAACCTAGGTAGGGTAGAGGACATGCATGTCCATACAGTTGTCATTTTTATGAACCTCTGGAGTCCCTTAAATCATTCTGGAAAGTACGAGTTGATGAATTAATGGGTTAAGGACTCAAACAATTAAGTTGTTGCCTCAGACTATGGTCACAACATGACGATGGAGGTTTTCGCGAGTATCGTGTCCTCATGAGTCCACGACGATACCAAGGAGGGTTCACATCATGATGTATGTTGATTGAGCTATCCGTGACCGAGTTGGCTGAGTTGGCGCATGACCAAGTTTGGAATAGGGTGGAGTGTACTCTCACGACTTGACCAAGGGATGGTCACGATGTGAGGTTCAATTGTTGGTATTCTTGGTTGTTGACTTTGACCTTGACCATTGAATTTTTGGGTAGGCTTGACTTTTGGTCAAATTGTTGGATTGAGGGTATAGGCTAAGGTTGGACCATGTATGTTTTGATAGGTGTGTTGCAGCACCAGTTGCGTAGCATTGAGCTATGGTTTAGCTGATTTCATGAGTCAGGTAAGTCTTTTTACTATATTGTGTAGGATGTTGGCTGTCTTTATGACTCTTGAATTGTGTGTTGGGCTAGACCCATTGATATGCATGTTGGGATGGGCCCATTTGCATGTTGGGTTGGGCCCATTGATATGTTGGGTTGGGTTTATTTGTATGTTGGGTTGGGCCCATTGATATATGGGGTTGGGCCCATTATATGGGCTAGGCCCAATATGCGGGTTGGGCCCATTGATATGTATAGTATGTGGTATTTTGGGGAACTAGCTAAGCTTTGTGCTTATGGTTTGTGGTATCAACATTTACAGGTACTTCCAGTTCCAAAGGGAAGGGCCCGACTTGACTGTACAACATCCCCTGATGGCTTTTCCGTACTATTGTTATTGTATTACTCTAATGTTTGAAGAATACATTTTACTCTGATTAACTTTAGACAAATGGTTGTATAGATTTGATGTTTTAAAAATGAAAATTTTACTACTATTTTTAAGGCGTTACAAGTCGAGAGACTCTAGGGTATGAATTTGACTGAGAGCCTTGGATGGTATTATGCCACGGAGTCCAATAACAATGACTCATGTGTCATCTAAATTACACTCAATGCTTTACCATGAATTGCAAATGTTACTAGCATCAATATTATTCCATTTCATTTTTTAACCAGGTTGAAAAGCATCCAAAAAACCTCTAATTCTTTTTTTCCTGACTTAAATTTGATAGAAGCTTGTGATGCGTTCTTGTTTGACTCGAAGTTGGTAGAATTCTTTGATGCTTTCTTGTCTTACTCTAATTTAATTATAGTCAGAAACCAAAATCACAATGGTTACAAAGAGAAGGATGGTTGAAAGGAGTTAAACAGAGAAAATCCTCATGGGGAACTATTCATATATATGAAGCTTCTAGAGATTTAGGTCAGGAGATTCCTAGTTTGCAACACAAAAAAGAAGATTTAGATAATGATTGTTTCAAAACACATGAAGCTTATGTAAGAATTGCACACACACACACACACAAAAAAGGATATGTATATAATAACAATGGAAAGTTATCATTTATGACCTCAATTGTTTTGGGAATTTGAATGGATATGAAACTTTACATGGATCACTTCTCGCAGGAGAGGAGATAGTAAATCAAATAGCATTGCATCAAAAGAAAAGTGTAACACCTGATTTATGGAATGTGACTTTATTTGTTTTTCTTCTTTAAGTTAAGTTTGAGTTTTAGGGTTTCTGGAAAAACACGACGTTGACTACTAAATGTTGGGATGTGGGCTATGTAATCAAGTAGCGATGCGGTCAGGTAAGGACCGCAAATCGATGGCGATTGGGATCAAAAACATAGATCTTAGGCCTTGAGCCCTATAAAATGGTGCTAACTTTTAGGGTTTCATTCTATCCTCAGCCAACACCTCTTAGATCAAAACCCTAGCCCTTTGTGCCCCCATTTAGAGTGTGTTTGGTTGTTTTGAGAGAACTTTGAACATAAATAAGCTTGTGGTGCTTGAAGGAGAGTGTTCCAGCTGAAGTTGCAACCTTCTAGACCCATTATTTTCTTTGTAAGTTAGAAAGTTCCTTGCTTTACTCATTTTCATGCATAGATCTAGGTATAGGAACATATTTTTGTCCATGTTGGTTCTTTTCATTGAAGTTATTAGAGTTTGGTGAACTCCAGGACCATATACTTGTTATTGGATGAATTTTGGACCTCAGTAGGATCAAAAAAGAGCTTATTTGAACTCCTTTGTTGTCATGCAAAGGATTCAAGCCATCTTTGTAGATTTGAGAGTTAGGGTTTGAGTTTTGAGCTTTGGTTTGGGTGAGAAATAGATAAAGTTGGAAACTTCATCCATTAAGTCCTTTAAAAGAATCAAATATGGAGTTTTAGGTTCTGGACTTAAGTGTTTAAGAGCTTAATGAAAAGGTGATTAAATTACCAACGCGACCATTAGGGTGTCATAGCGCGTGTCGCGATTGTTTTGTTTTCTAGTGTTCGCGACGCGACCAAGGTGTGGGTCACGACGCGTTGACCGTTGACTTTGACCAAGTTGACTGTTGGCTTTTGACCAAGTTTGACTTTTTGGTCAAACTTTGAGGAATTAAATGTTGACTAAGGTTTGGCAACTATTTGTTGTCTAGGTGGTTCGTGAGATTGCTTCTCACATGTTTGAGCGTTTAGGAGTGATTCGTTAGTTTTCAGGTTCATGTGAGTTATCTCATTATACTATGTGTTATATCATATATCTTTTGAATGATAGGATGTTGTGATGTTGTGGTATGGTGACTAGGCAAGTAAGCTTGTAAAGTCTTTTGCATGTTGTTTGTGCGATTTTTTCTGATTGTTTGATTGTATGATATGTCGACATATTATGTGGGGAGTCGAGGGCAAAAAACACTAGAGCTATGAGCCTAGATACTCAGGGTTAATGGACGAACAACATTGGATCTATGAGCTTATATACGCATTGTTGATGACTAGACTGGTACTGGATCCATTAGTCATCGGGTGAAACGACATTGGAGCCTAGAGCCTTTGTTTGTATGGGGGATCGACACTATATCCGAGAGCCTTGTTTCTATGCATTGTATGTGTATTGTAGTATGTGGTATTTTGAGAAACTCATATTTATGCTTACAGTTGTGGATTAAATATTTTTCAAATCCTTTTACTGTTTGATTGAAGGGCTCAACTTGATTGTATTGCATGAGCATTGCTAATGAGTTACTTAGACTTCCGTTGTTATGACAATTTGTTACAATTGACGTTGTTTAAACAACTGTTACCCCTTAATCTTTTATAAAAACGTTTTGGAATGTTTTATACTTTTATCTATGCTTTTCAAAAGAAAAATATGGTTTGAAATTTTGGACATTACAAAAACAATAAGAAATGATTGCATTCTTTAAAAGATTGGTTGTAAATTATCTCTATCTAATACTAACCAAAATCTCAACTTCCTAACAACATCTTATATAAGCTATCTGTCATATAATTGAAAAGGGTTTTTGGCACTATAGCACAACAATGTTTGGCCAATTTGCACATTTAGTCATTCATGTTTTTTTGTGCTCAATTGGTCCTTAACGTTAGTAAATATCGGCTAATTAAGGGAGTGGGAGAAAATGTATTCGGTTTACGGGTCATTGCTGACGTGTTTTTGCTTATGTGGAATACCATTTGACCATGTCATTGTATATGGTGGAAACCTTCCTTAAATGGAACACTCATTCAAACCAAATAGGATACATTCTTACCCCAAATTAGGTCACCCCGAAAACCTCTACTCAATCGATATAACCAGAGCAATGTCTGCCTCCTCCAGTCGATCGATCAACCTCCTGCATGTCGGAAACCATCCTGATGATGAAGCATGTCTACCTTGTGACTATAAAGACGGAATAAGCATCGAACGGACTTCTTGGACGGACGACAACATAGCTCGAAGGTTTTGGAAGTGCAAAAACTTCTTGGTGAGTATTCCTTATGGTTACTTACACCATATTTAGTATCTTGAGTTGGAAATGTACACCTTTTCCTTAATCGTAACCCTAATTGTCGTCTTCCCTTTTAATTAGTCAGCTGAAGGTCCAAAATGTAAGCTTTTTTATGTGGAAAAACGATGAAATGGAGGAGGGGTACTACAAGTGATGTACACCTTTTCCTTAATCGTAACCCTAATTGTCGTCTTCCCTTCGTAAGTTGAGGTTTGAGGTGCTCAAAAAGGAAGACTTCAGTGAAGTTTCGAAGGCTTAAAAGAAGGTGATACAGATGCAGCAAACTATGGAAGCAAAGAAGGAAGTGTTTGAGAGACAAGTGATGGAGTTGATGAAGAAAAACTCAATAACGAAGACTTACCTTGGAACTGCTAAGTGTGTGATATTTGTTTTGTTCATTTTAGTCATTGGGATGTGGTTGAAGTGTCCTTGAAGTGTGCCTAATCAAACAATGTAGTTATGGTTGATGGTGTAAAATTCCAACTGATTTTTTGGATAGTTCATGGGTAGATGCCCAGGAAAGTAGAAAGTTGTTTTGTTTTTGGATGAACCGGTTTAGGGTTAGATCCTAGTTGTTATATATGGGAAGGTTTTTAGATAAATTCTTGTTTGATCAGGGTGTGTATTTGGAATGTATGGTAGATATAGTTGTTGGAAATTTTGGAACAATTGTATTGGGATGGCACTAGATGGGTAATATTGTATGGACTTTTGTAAACTCAATGAATGGAATGAAAGATCCAAGTTTGGTAGATACCTTTTTGTACTTAATGATATGTATGTGCTCCTTTGAAGATTTAACTGTAGGAACCACATTTTTGGGCATATAGACCACACTTGGTCTATTTAAAAGTGATTTGATTTCTGTGTAGGGTCCCTTTTGTGCCAGAAGAAGGACATATGGACCACACTTGGTATATAAGGACATAATCCATGTAAATTTAAAATTGGCCATATATGGACATATATGTCCTTGCCATGTAGTTTAACCACACAAGTCCTTGCCATGCATGCAACTTACAAATAACACAACAAAAAACTCAAAATAACAACCAACTTACTTAATACACATTCCACATCACATAAACCAATATAGTTTCATACAAACAACCATACTTAACATCAGGGTTCCTTCACATCACTTCCAATTTAAAGTACACCAAAAAACATAATTTCATAATACATACCAAGTTCATATGACATAAACCAATATTTTAACCTAATCTAGAGTAAGATCTTTAGCTATTAAATTCCTAGGTGCATCTTCACCACCAACTCTCTTGCCCAGCTTCAGCTTGATAATCCTTTCAGATTTCTTCCTTCTGATTTTCTTCAAAAGGGCTGCAACTGGTCTTTCCATAGGCTCCTATTGTTGCACATGCACCTCACTAGGTTCTCTATTTCTCGATGCATCAAACACCAAAGGAGTGAGTTCCACCTTATCATAGTCTTGTTGCAGATACACCTCACTAACATTGACATCTTCTCTACCCTCATTGATTGCTTCTCCACCCTTATTGACTGCTTGATCACCCTCATTCACTGCATCACCTTCATTGACTTCAGCACCACCCTGATTGACCAATATGAAACAATATTATGAAATAGAAAAATTATAAAGACTTAACCATCTAAATACTAATTTAACTATTTTGCAAGAGTGAAACCTCTTTTGTTGTGTCCTTCAATCTTACAAAGACTACATTTTTTTTCTTTCCAACCTTGGATACCCTCAACTGCTCCTTACCATTCTCTTGTGTTTGGTTACTCTTCTTTGATTTGTTACTTGACTGGTTTTCTGTTGCATCCCTTTTCCTTTTAGTTGCAGGTCTCCCATGCATAGTTCTACGAACAGGAAGTAAAGGTGGGGTGTACTCACTTGCATGCCACAAGTTACTTTCACTCATAGGTGCTAACCTAAACTTGTATGCCTTCATGTAAGTGATGTTACGAAACATTTTGTCCATATATGACTCTACATCCCTATTCCATTAAGCTTTCATAGCCTACACGAGCAATTTCTACTTTCAAGATCTACTTCATAAGCATCTCTAGTTCCTCTTACTTCAAACCGGTTTAATCCACTAGGTAACACTTAGTAATGTATTTGGAATTTATCAATATCATTCAGTAATTCTCTAACTGTTGGACAAATTTGGTTTCCCCATCCTTGACCCTTGGCTTTCATGTTGAACACCCTCTCCGTCATATACATCCTCAACTCCTGCAACATGGTGATGATTGGCTTCTTCCTAGCATCAACTATCACAACATTAAAACTTTCTAAACATTCAGCATCTTCCTGGTACGAAGTAGGCTCTTGACCATGTCTTCGGGTTTTTGTCCATCAGATACTGATGATCATTTGGGTCTAACAGTTCAAGTTCTTTCATGGCAACCTTAAAATCTACCTCTATGGTTGCTTTACAAGCCTTCCAGAATATGTTTCATATTGGACACCACTGTACCTTTTCCTTAGCTTTGGCTAATATGCTTGGCGCACTACCTATGCTCTACATATGGAAGGAGTTCTTTTACAACCTCAATCAAACCCTGTTAAAAAAATAGAAATTATAGTGAATAAGGATGCAACTAGAAAGGGAAATTAATTACAAATAGGTAAATTACCTTGTGTTGATCTGATATTACACTGTATCCATAGCCTAAATTAAGTACCAAGTCATCAATTAGTAGATCCAAAAACCACTTCCAATTTTCCTTATTCTCCACACAGACTACTGACCATGCAATGGGAAAAATCGCATTGTTTGCATCCCTTCCAACAGCACATAACAACTCCTATTTGCATTTACCTTTAAGGAAACAACCATCTAAACCTATTATCTTCCTGCATCCCTCCTTCCACCCATTTTTAATGCATCAAAGCAAACATAGAACTTACTAAAGTAGTTCTTCCCATCTGACATATGATTTACATCAATCTTCACAGTGCTACCTGGATTTGATCTCCTAATCTCTTCTGCATATGACCACAACTTAGCATAATGTTCAACTAGGGTATCATCTATTAGTTGAAGTGTATATTTCTTAGCTCTCCTGCATTGACCAACACTTACATGAATAACAAACTTTTGTGACACAACTTTTCTAAGCTTTCTGGCACTCATCTTTTGTCTAAGTAAGAACTCTCTTGTATAATGACTCCTTATCCAAGAATAAGTGACTATGGACCCTAACTTGTAGTTCCCTGCATATTTGTGATCTGTCTTTAAAGACTTAATTTGGAAGCTTGATTCATCACTCATCCAAGATGCCCACAACCTGAATGTGCACTCACCCTGCAACACTTAATCAACAATCTTTTCCTATCATTTTTCTCAAACAAAGTTGGTAACCATTGGCAACAACATAGTTGCATAACATAGATTTTAATTGAGTTGGATCTTTGAATATCATACCAAGTATTGGGTACTATTTTTTCCATGGAGTTGACTCATTAAAAATTGAATGTTGTTGAGTTACATTTGCCTCCTCTTCACCGCATCAGCATCATCAACTATGTTGTTATCATTTCCTTCTTCCTCTTCACAACATAATTCAGAAATAAACTCATCACCCTTTGTTCTGTTCATAGTGACCACATCCTCATTAAAGTCCACCTCCATATCTCTAAGGTTATCAATTTCGTCTTCATTTTCACCACCATCAATGCATGAATCGTCACCATCTTCTTCCTCTTCTATCTCAGAGCCAAACCATTCCTCTATTCCTTGACCATCATGGTCCACATATAGGGAAGTTAAACCATCGGCTCCATAAGCATCAAAAATGAAACTAGCATAATCTCCATCGTTACGAATAGCAGTTATCCCATATAATAAGGGCTTACCTGGCTCACAGTAGTATAACTTGTTTATACTTTCTTGCATGACCCATTCGAGAAAGGTGATACACTCAGAGTATGCCATTCCAGAAAAAATCATGATCATTGAATGTGAATTTGATACCATGGTTATACGAGAAAGGATTTCGAAGAAAAATACCTTTGAAGTTGAGCTCCACTATATGGTAGAGTCCATTAGGGTTTGGCGTTTGAGGTTGACATTGTCGGTTGGTTGCCTGATCACTTACTTCGATCGGAGAAAACGTGTTGGAACCCTAGTTTTTTTTGTTCTTGTTCACTAAGCGATGAGAAAAATGAAGAACGAAGAAGAAGAGTGTAGCGGTGTGTGAATAAATGTGATTATTTTGACTTCGAATTCATACGTGGATAAGGTAAGGTAGATATCTTATTTAATGTAAATGACACGTAAAAATACAACCGGTTGTTCCTTTTACCGTGTGAATAAGGGTGTAATTAGCCGGTATTTACTAACGTTAAGGACCAATTGAGCACAAAAAAAACATGAGTGACTAAATATGCAAATTGGTCAAAAAATTGTTGTGTACAGTGCTAAAAACCCAATTGAAAAAGCGTGTAACTAATTATGGTGTACAAACTTAAAGCATGATGATTATTTGTAATTATCAAGGGTGCAAAAAACAGTCAACGTAGACTTGGCGGTGGACTGGGTCAAGGGATTAATCGGCTAGGCGGGGATTAATCGGATGATTAATCGAGGACCATTAATTATTAAAAAAATTAATAAATATAACATTAATCCTAAGTATATAACATTATAAATTAAAAATTATTAAAAATTTAGTAAAGATAACATTATAACATGAAATTATGATTACAAAAAACCCCTTTGATCCTTAATACATCACATCTAAAGACTTGGTGCAAACTTGTTAACTCAATCTTACACTTACATTTCTAATTGCAAAAGGTGGATATAGTATTCATGAAGAAACCGCATTACAATTTACATTTTACAATTACAAATTCAAAACAACATATTTCGAAAATGAACCAATCAATCAATCTGCATGGTTTATCTTGGATCCAATTTGAAGAGTGTTGAGAAAAGAGATGCCCAAACTATTGATGCAATTTAAAACAGCTTCAGCCTTAACTAGCAAGCTTGTTGGCCTGTAGAAATGCACTGCACTGATGCACTCATGATGAACATGTTTGGTTGAATGCTAATGCTAATGCTTTCAAACAAATAAATGCCGTTTTCCACATATCAAATATAGAAAACACAATCTTGAACGTTGCATCCTCCAACAAATGTGAATCAAATTTCACTAAGACAAAATATCAAACAGCTGGTGTGCACCTTGATTCGCTATCACCTGCACAACATTTTCATAAGAGATTACGAGCTTTTATGTAATCGCTATCATCAATTTTCTAACTCACGTTTGAGATTTAAACATTCAATAAGCATAAGAAATCATCGACGTTTGAATAACGTACACAATACCATTATACGAACAGAGAGAAATGCAACAGGAATCAAGTTAAATTTTAAACATAAAAGTAATCTATAATCATCAATTGGATCTTTCTTAACATGCTTGGTCAAATTCATAACTTAGAATCAACTTATATCTCATTTGTAGGTCAAATTGTGTGCCAGAGTCGGATCTTACCTGAACTAGTGAACGAACTAAAATGAATTAGGGCTCGACGAAGGATTTCCCACCTTAAAGACGATGTCTTTCTACCGTTATCCATGTGCTTGGAAGCTTCAAAAGGCAATGATGTGCTTGGAAGCAGAAGAAGATGTGTGATAGAACAAGACAGATGTGCTTTGAAGCATACCGAGACGACGTGAATGGAAGAAGAAGATGGCGTCGGAGGAGGAGCAGATGGCGTCGGCGTTCACTTCACTCTTCCATTCGTTTCTTGAGACGACATAGTGAATTTTAAAAACGAAAGTTAGACTGAATGCGATGGAATGGCAAAATCGGAAGGAACCCTAGCAGTAATGGAGGAGTTAAACCACCAGTCGAAACCACCATTGAAAACCAAAGCTTAAACCTTCAACCACATGTTATGTGAACTAAGAAGAAGCAAAGAAGAAAAGAAGAAAAGAGGAGTTAAACCACCTGTTACGTGAACAAAGAAGAAGAAAAGAAGAAAATATGAGTTTTGTAAAGAATAGTCCCACATCCCACATTGTTGGTGGGGAAAAATAATAGGCAGATGTATTCTATAAAAAGGAGTGACAATCCCATTGGAAAAGTAAAACATATGTGCTTTGGCTTGTTGGCTCCATTGGGCCGACCACTTTAGAGTGGATTGGAATGACTTGGTCTGAATTGAATTGGTGTTCGAGTTGGTCTGATTTAGTCTGATTTGGACTGAATTGGACCGGCTTCGACTGATATTGACCAAGACTGATTAATAAACCTTCTAACACCTATTTGTAGGCGGTTAAAGGCCGTCAAATGCCTAGGCAGCCGATTAATCGGCTGCCCAGACCAATTTTTACAACACTGGTAATTATAAAAGAATGGTAACTGGTTTTACGATATCAATAATAATAATAATAATAACTCTAGCCCAAACAAATTATATATTTTTTTCATAAAAAAAATAATCATGAAAATTAGTGTTATTTTCAAAGACATCTCAAAATGAAATAATTAAGATATTTAACCCTCAATAACGTAAAGTGCATCGCATAAAAGAACGCAAATTTTAACTAAACGAAAATGTTTAAAATAGTGAATGTAGGAGAAAAAAATCGTGAGCGGCAGGATTCGAACCTGCGCGGGCAAAGCCCACATGATTTCTAGTCATGCCCGATAACCACTCCGGCACGCTCACATTGATGATGATTATCTCATTTAATGATTACTAAACTGTATATTATAAAATTATAGACAACAGGTTACGGAAAAACGTGATATATACTTGTAAACGAGTTTAAACGAGTCAATATGGTATGCTAGGTCCATATCCATTCTTGGGCTATTTTGCTATGTTTAATCCGTCGCTTTACAACATGACCAAACGATATGGGTTTAAATCAGCCACGTTACATTTGTTTTTTTACCTTATATTGGTTAAAACCATCTTATATTCATTTGCTTTCTTATTAGTCTTTAAAGAGAGTAATGGGCAACATTTAAATCTTTGTTCATTTCAAAGTTAACCACAATATATAAAATAAACCTTACAAAAAGAAGAAGAAGAAGAAGAAGAAGAGTCATGTCTACTTGACGAGCATGGCATTAATGAAAACTTTTCAAAATGAAGAAAGACTAATGAATCTCAATCACAAGAAGTAACAGAAAGAGCAACCCTTAGATCATTTGAAGTCCCACAAATATACATCCTATGAGTCTCAATCTCCCCCCTGTTGGTGACTCCATTGATTCCCACTCCCACTGCCACGTGGAGCATAGTAGCTACTATCCACTCTATCACGCAAGGAGAACACAATCTCCCTTAACATGGGTTCGTGCCCATTCAACAAATTCCCCATGCTCAACACCTTCCTCCATGACTGGTTAGCAGAAGGCTGCACAAACATACCCGTTACAACATCTCTCTCATTCCCCCTCACTTCTTGCTTCTTTCTCACTTCATGAGAAACCAACCCTACTTTTCCCATTTTTGGTGCATATAAATTGTAAAATTCATTGAAAATGGTTTGTGAAAGTCGAGGCGCGTTTAGGAATTTGCGATGAAGGGAAGCCGCGAGTGTTAGCAGCTTCTCCACGTGTTCGAATACAACACAGAGCCGTTTTACATCTTGGATTATTTCCATATCACCCGGTAGCTTGTTCGCTGCCAATGCAATAAGTCGGATAAAATAAAATGACTATTTTACCCTTGTGTCTAAAAATTGTAAATGAGACATTACACATACCTTGCAAAGGCTTCAATGCAGAAGCAATGGTGAAGTATAATTGGTCGATTTTTATTGTCATGTTCTTTAACCCACCAAAGCTAGTCTGGTTAAGAGTGTCAGCTGCAGCTCTGAAAGCAGTACACACCATTTGCTCCAGTAACTGATGCGGTCTTACTGTTTCCAGATAATGAAGTATCTTTATAGATATTGGATGATGTTAGTTAGTTTCATTGATCATGGAGGGTAAATGTGGAAAAATAAAAAAAAATGTATAATGTAGTACCTTTTCTCCTTCTCTATTTGGGTCCATAAATGGCTTTTGTTCTGAAGCTGGTAGAGGAGGGGCATCGTTCCAAATTTTGCGCCATGAATTCCCGGATTCTGACATTCTGTCTGAAAGTTTTCCTTGAGGTGGCCATTTGTCTCCTGAGGGCCCACAACTCTTATCATCTTCCCAATCTTTTGGAGAATGCCATCGAATGAAATCTTCAAAAACAGCATCTGGATTTGCAGCTTTAAATGCTGACATATCTGGTTCAAGATTTTTTTTTAATAAAATCATCAACAAAAAAGTTAGGGAAATCATCAGAGCTAAAAACACCATTTTATGTACCTGAAGATAAGATGTCCTTCTCCAACTGCCCAGAGAAGCTCTGACAAAAATTAAACACAATTTTCAGCAAGGAAATTTATTTTATATAATATCCTATATGTGATGTGACAACTTACAAAAGAATCGCCCAAGACTTCAACTGCATGGAGCCTTTCTTCATGCATGTCTTCTGTCATAATTGGTGGATCCTACGATTAAAAAAAAAAAAAAAAAAAAAAAAAAAAAAAAAAACTGTTAATTTGTTTATACATTGTGGAGATAATAATAAAAGAAATATAGCATGTGAAAATCAGATGAACCTGAGTAAATGGAGCATGCATGTTGTCATGTGATTTCAAAAGCATCAAGGATTCCACAACACCTGCTGATCCCCTCCTCTTACCAGATGTCATAGAAGTTGGGGTGCTACAAAATACATAACAAGAAAAGGTAAAAAAAAAAAAATGATGGGAAGTAACATGCAACAAATGAAAAGAACTTCATATACCAATAATGCTACATTAATGTTCAATAAATAAAAAAAACCAAGGAGCTCTCACTTGCTTATTTCACCTGTCACTTTCCTTCACTAAACCTTCTTCTTTTGCTCCTGATGGATAAGAGAAGTCTTCATTAGCCTGCA